CTTAAACTTGACAAATTTATAAAGGAATAATAGACATTTGTGTCATTAAGAGTTATCTCTCATCAGAATATCAATGTACCTTAAAGCAGTTTACTGCATCATGAATTTCAAATTCTTGAAATCTTTAACTACAGTTTGGTGTCCAAAAAAAAAGAAACCTTTATATACATAAAATGTATGTAATTTGATGGCTTGTAAAAATGTCGCCGTGGCCCATATAACCTCCTGAAATTTATAATTACTTGTAGTATTTTACAGCATTTAATACAGTGTAATTAATTTTAGATTTTTATCAATCTATTTTTTATTAGGAAGCAGCAATTACCCTTCAATCCTTTATGCGTCAGTGTATCGACCAAAAGAGGTATGGGAAAATCAAGAAGTCAGCGCGGATAATACAGAGTCGATACAGAGCATGTCATGCCAGGAAAGAGACCCAAAAGAAATACCATGATATGAAAGCAGCAACTGTGACCATGCAGGCATGCTATAGAGGCAAGCAAGCCCGAGACCTCTACCAAAGAATCAGAAAGTCTGCAGTACGGATTCAGGCTGCATACAAAGGGTATCTAACCAGAAAGCAGCTAAAGGAACGCCGTGCCCTCATAAAACAGGTAGATTGGACAAACTATTTATGGAAAAATTTTGTTTAAAAAAAAAGGCAGCCAAAAAAACAGATAACAATTAAATATCAAATTTACCCCGGGTTGTTCAAAAGACCAAAGGTGTTGAGAATTTACCCTCCTATATAATTCCCTGGCTAGTATTCTGGTATCCCCCTTAAACCCTTGTAAGGGGAGGAACTCCAAACCCCTTTCTTTTTTATGTCCCCTGCTATTCTAATTGCTAGGTACAAGCTGTATACCAATTGTTATTTTATTACATAAGTAATACATGTACCTGTAGATATTAAAGCTTGGATGGTGGTACCTTATGTACATGTAATAAACTCCCTGTCCATTCAGTGTGTCACAGTAACATTATGTTCCTTCTAAAAGCAGACTTATTAAGTATATAAATGAAAGACAATTTACAATGGCAAGGTCAGAATGAAAGTCCTTCCATATTTATGTAAGGCAAAACCAATGGTATAATATTTTCTTAACCTACATACTTCATTTTTTACTTGATGAATGATAGTTTGCAGATTTTGAGTTACTTGCATGACAAGAAGTCACTATCAAGTGTTAAAAAAAAAATTACCCCCCCCCCCCCTCTTGCAAGAGAAATTATTTTAGGGCATAGAGAAATTACTTTGTCATTCTGTCCTAGAAGCTAGATCTCTTCTTTCCAAAATCATTGGAAAGTCCCACAAAAATTGCACAAAAATACAAATGAAAGACCTGTGCATATGGATTTTGTTTGTAAATCTAATTTCATTTCTATTAATTTTCAGGAGAAAGAGATGAATGACACAAAGATGGAAAAACCAAACAAACTGGGTGTAGGTTTTATATAATTAATTTCTTTTAAGGACAGATGATACAAACAAAAAATGGATGCCTGGATTGGTATATATTTTTTGGTCAAATTTCATTGCAAATGATGCAAATAATAAATTTTTAGATTATGAAGAAATTGTAAACCTTCTGTGATGCTCAAAAGTCTGCCCATCTGAAACCATCCTTATTATTCTATACAATTAGTTTTCACTAGAAATTCCATTTTTGTGAAAATTTGAATGAAAAATTAACTACTAGGTAGTGAAAATTATTCATTTTACTCATTCAAACATGACCCAATTTGTTATTTGTTTGTATCACCTGTCCTTAATTGGAAGTTGTTAATTGAAATATGTTTATTAAAGCATGTGAGTTCTTCTTTACAATTTAAAAAATGAAGCAGACAGTCATTATTAATTTCAGATATGTATATGTCTCACACAAAATGCTTTCATCGTTAATCAAAAAGGCCAATCATGCTTTCTTCATCACTCAAATAGGAACGCTAAGAACTCTATCTGCAAATATAGAATTTTGTTTTATCAGAATGTTGTCTGAATGTTAAAGGTACATAACTTTTTTAAATTCTCCAAAGAAGTAGAAAGTTGATTAGTAACATTTTTTTGTTTAAATAGCTATCTAATTTAACTATGATATTACCAATAAAACCATATTTAGAGTATCTCTAGCATCTGTACATTGTTTTTCTGTAAACTAATTGGACCTGTCAATATAATTTAATCATGAGTTTTGCATTTCAGAAAATGAAAAGATTCCGAAAATGGTTACGACGAACTTTCTCCTGCTCAAGCTCAAAGTAAGTGACTTCATTACATTTCATTTATTGCAATTCATTCATAGTGAGTTTTTTTTTCCCACTGCAGTGTAATCACAATTCATTTTCTTCAGTCTTTGTTTATCCAAATATGGAAAGTTGGTGATCATAAACAAGTGAAAATTAATCTAAAAATATTAATATGATTTTAAAACAGAAAAATGACTGTTCTTGAAAATATATATCAATCCAAATATTGCATGGAAATTAAAGTAAGACAGTCTGTCAGGCTTGTGTAAAATAAGTCATTTTCTAGTCCAGTATTGGACTTTAACATGTTTAAATCAATGTTAACTGTTTTAGTAATTTAACACCTTAAATCTATAAATCCTGCTCAATTTAAGTTACATACTGCCTTATGCAAAATTGCTAAGCTTGATATATGTTATCAATTTCAAACAGAGATAACAACTAATATTGAGATTAATTGAAGCAATTTGGAAATACACATCAAATCAAATTAATAGATAAATGTGACATGAACTCCTTTTGTTTTGCAAGAAGAGGGGATATGTTCATAAAGAATAATGTTCGGTTTAATAGATTAAGACCCTCAATCTCAGAATTTCCTTTTCCTTTGTTCTCCTCTTTCTTATGTATGGCATGTTAATATGTCATTTTTTATATTTTTCCTTTTCAGATAAGAAGTGGATTGTCTTTCAAGAACTAATTTCAAAACATTAATTATCATTCTGTAAAATAAATTTAAATATTACTGGATAAATTTTCTTCATCAAGGAATATTTGGGGCCCAGGAGGGGACACCCGAGCTATTTTTTACAGGTTTGTTTGGCTGATAATTAACTTTTTTTCTTTTGATTCTTTGTTCTAAATTTATATAATGTGGGCCTCATATACAAGAGGTCTGCATTGCAAAAGTGACTTATTCTAAATTTTATTTTTGGCTTTTCTTTCTGGCAACAAAGCGAGAGAGACAGATCTCTTGCTGAGTTACCAGAGCAAAATTACTTCAATGATTTAGAAACTTTAGGCCTTTCAGGGAAACCCATTTTAACCAGGGTTTCCCTATCTTTTAAAAAGCATAAAATTGTAAGTACATCCATTTAGTGATGTTGAAAGCTCCGTTGTCCTCTCCTGTCTAAAATCTGCTTATAATCTTAATTACTTATAGTTAATTATCTTCATTTTTTTTAAATCTGTCCATCAATTCCATGTGCCAAGAGTTTCAATATTTTGTATGCATTTTTAGATACACATGTAAATAAATCTATATTTGCAAACTTATTACTGACTTATAATTGTAAAGAAGGTCAACTGAACCACTCCATGCTGCAATCAGACACAATAATGCTGTGTACAAGGGTATACAAGAAATCTCATATGGACCCGGTATATAAATTGAAAGCCCCTTGTATGGTAGCATTTGACGAAGGTCACAGTTTTTCAGATACAAGTCAAACTCTTAGGTCAAGAGATCAAAAATGTTGTTAGCTGAATATAGGACTTGTCTCAATAGTTATACATGTGAAATATGAAAGCAACAAACATTCAAAAGTTATAATCAAGATTAATCTTTTTTCAAATGTGGGTCAAACTCATGGGTCAAGGTCAAATTAATGATACTCAGAGGAAGACCTTGTAAGACATTTACAAGTAAAAAATTAAGGCCCTAGAACCAACTGTTGAAAATTAATACACGTGAAACAAGAGGCCCATGGGCCACATCGCTCACCCGAGCATTGCGGCAAGGAAAAAGTAGAAATTGGTTTACAATACTATAAAAAAGTGTAAAACCAAAAGTTTGCCCCGGGGTCATGATTTGAACAATCTTGAATCTACACTATCTGAGGATGCATCCATATAAATATGAGCAATTATGGCTTTGCTATTCTTGAGAAGAAGATTTTTAAAGAGTTTTCCTATATATTTCTATATAAAACTCGGAACTATGAACCCCCGGGGGTCATAGAACAAAATTGAATCTACACTACCTGGGGATGCTTCCACATAAATAAGCAATTATGGCTTTGCTGTTCTTGAGAAAAAGTTTTTTAAAGAATTTTCTATATATTTCTATATAAAAAGGTGGCCAGCCCCGTCAAACCAAACCAAAGGAACAAACTTGAATCTGCACTACCTGGGGATGCTTCCATATAAATAAAATTATGGCTTTGCTGTTCTTAGAAGATTTTTAAAGAATTTTCCTATATATTTCTATATAAAACTTTGGTTGGCCATTGTGGCCCCGCCCTACCCCCAGGGGTCATGATTGGAACAAACTTGAATCTACACTATCTGGGGATGCTTCCATATAAATATGAGCAATCATGGCTTTGCTGTTCTTGAGAAGAAATTTTTAAAGAATTTTCCTATATATTTCTATATTTTGGTCGGCCATTGTGGCCCCGCCCTACCCCCGGGGGGGAACAAATTTGAATCTACACTACCTGAGGATGTTTCCCCATAAGTTTCATCTTTCCTGGCACAGTGGTTCTTGAGAAGAAGATTTTTAAAACATACCACCAAATTTTCACTAATTCTAATTAGGAGGGCGTGGCATTTAATTGAATCCCCTTCACCCAAGGATGCTTTGTGGCAAGAAATGAGAAGAAGTCAAAAATGTGAAAAAAGACAGACAGACAGCTAGACAGACAGAACGCCAGACAAAATGTGATCAGAAAGATGAGTTAGGTGAGCTGAAAAAGTCATAAACATGGTCAGGGAAACCCAAAACCTTTAATAAGAGGGCATAAAAACTGATATTAAAAATTATCTTTTATTAAAAGTACAAAGAGATGACATACAGTCATTCAAAGCAATACATTGAAACAAATTCTCAGTTGTATCAAAATATAAAATTCTATCGCGTGTTCTGAAACATAACAAGTGCCCCCTGCAGTTGCACAAGACTAGTGACTGACAACAGTTTAGTGCATTAATAAACATGAGCTATATTTAACGATATAATTAAACACATTCTTTAATAATAAAAATGTTAACAAAAATATATATGTGTAGATAGATATACATGCTTAGTATTTAATATATAATTTTCCCCATATCAATGGAACAAAAAAAATAATACAGAACCATGATGCTTTAGCAATCATATATTTCTGTAAAATAATATGAATTATGATAAGTGAAAAATAGAAATTTTGATTGCAAAATACTCAACATTTTGTTTCTTTCAGCAAAATATACATACTAACACCTTTAGGTGCAGATTTGGTGTTCTTATTCATGTACTGGGTACATCGATCATTAAAATATAAATTTCTACAATATTTGTAACCACCATTAGCACTAATTCTCTCTTGCCCAAATCTAACACATGATCTACATGTACATTGGTCTAAATTTTGAATATCTTGAAAGGAATAATACAATAAATGCATCAAGCCAATATGAACTAAAAAATTTTTGTGCAAAAGTTCAATGCATTCCAATGAATATTTAAATGTTTGTGATTTCATTTCCCTACTCAGAAAAATATAAAAAATACTAAAGATTTCCATACATTATGAGAGAAAAATATGTTTTATCATTGGTCCCACATGAAATTAAAATGACTAACATTATCTTCTACAAGCTCTCTTATAAATCTGTGAAATGATTACAATTCAAAAATCATTTTCCTTGGAATGACGCCTATCTTTATGATTTTCAACAGACGGAGAGAGTGACAGTAAAGAACAAGTAAATCAAGTCTTTTTTCCTTGCAAAGATATTAACAAGGAATGAAAATCTAAGTGTTGCATATGTTTGTGTTGGACAAAATCACATAGGAATACAGCCACAAATGACTGAATAACCCAGAACACAAAATAAATAAAACTGAGCAAAAGAAATTGACTGCCAACCATGTTCATGTTTATAGCACCTTTTTAACAGAAATAAGCACTTGGATCCTCCTATAAACCGATTTGCTCTCTCCAGCACAACAGCACAAAAATTTTAAACAGTGATATTATTTTAAGTATACATTACACTGTTCCAACTTTAGATTCAATCAACATGCATTATACAACAAAGAGAGAATGATTTCCAACAAAATTTTTATCACTGTTTCACATCTTTCCTCCTCAATTATGCATATTTCTTCTTATAAGATGAAAATGTGTATTAAAAAAATTATAATATGTGCTGAAAATGGTATAAATATATTAAAAAACAGAATGTTATTATGCAGAAGACAGATTTCTACAGAAGCTACGAACTGCTCTGAACAATTTCCAGCAAGCAAAAAATTTAAAATTAATATGGAAGACTAATCCTTCCTGTGTTCTACTCCATAAAAACACTTGACACATTATTTCCTTAGTGTTTCACTTTGTACTGTGCCATTAAGAAAAGAAGAAATACATTGTATATTCTTGATTTTTTTCTTGTAGATTTTTTAAGAACTGACAGTACCTGCTGTATCTGAAATTTTGTTAACTACAAATCAAACAGACTTTTCTTAGCAATCGTTTGTGCCTGCAAAGAAGGACATGCATTTCAAATAATTATGGGATTACTTGATAAGGGGCATAACTCTGTAAATCATTGTTAGACCTGGAATGTTCAAAAAAATTAATTGGAATGGATAACAATTAAAAATGCAGAAGTTGCAACTATCAATAAATGCTCCTCAAAATAACAATCAACAAGATAATTAGTTTTAACAATACATCAATATAAGTATAAATCAGTAGATGAATAATTTTCATTCGTATTTTGGAACTGGTCAAAACTGGTTCATGCTTTCTGTTTTCATGCTGGTACTAAAAAAAAAATTTTTTTTTACAACAGAAAAACAGGTATTTAAAGAATTTACTTTAGAAGATGATATATCTGCTAAACATCCAAGCATCCAAGCAATATTTGGAAATACTTTTTGAAAAACCTTTTGAATATTTATGTGTAATATGCAAATGAATCCAATAATTTTCATTCTCATGAGTGGCAAGAATATAAGTACTCCTGTAAAAATGATTTTGTTAAAGATGAAAAAAGAACATACTGTCAAACTGAAGTCAAAAACAAGCAAAAATGAACGTCTAAAAAACTTATTAAAATTAATATAGAGTACAAAGAATTCAAAAATAAAATTCTGTAAAGCTATGAATTTCAGTGTCATGAAGTCAGATCAACTGACTAAAAATAGCATGATTTACTGGCTAGGGATGACCCCAAAAAAGGTCAAAGGTCACATGTACACAACTAGTTTTTCCTTGACTTGTTCATCCTTGCGAGAAGCTCCCCCACTGATGCGTATTCCTGGTCCACCTGAAAATGTCTATACAATTCCTTGAAGTCTGGTCGTTTAGCTGGGTCTTTGTGCCAACATTCTCTCATCTTCTTGTAGCAGGTTTCCGGACAGTCATCAGGCTTGCTGAGTCTCTCTCCTGACTCAATGAACTGCATGACCTGTTAAAACAAAAATAAGATCAGAGCCTACAGAACTTCAGTTCTAAAACTGAAAATGTCTCTGTTTAATGCTTTATTCACTACAAAGAAACTCTAGAAGTCCAAATCTGTACAATATGATTCCCATTCAATGGAGCATCTATCCACCATTACCATACACAGGGAAATTTTTGCCTTCATTTTATGTTTACCCTCTTTGCCTTTGATACAAGTGGGTGAATTTAAGACACGGCAAGTTCAAAGAAGACAGTGTAAATATTTGAATTTGGACGAATTTAAAATGGAGCAAAATTGCTTGCAAATGTGAAAGGGCAAAAATAACACTGGGCAAAAATAATGCTAACCTTGTTTACAGTATTCCAGTGAAACCAGATATATAGATAATAACTTGATGTTAAAGTAGAGAATTAACTTATATTCCTCATACCTCTACACCTTTTTTGTCTCCGTAAGGCTGGTCCCCATAAGAAAACATTTCCCACAAAGTGATGCCAAAACTCCAGACATCTGTCTTGTGGTTAAATTTTCCATAGTTCACACATTCTGGTGCGTACCTGTAATGGATGTCAAAAATAAATCCAACTCCAGACAATTTTGCAAACTGCATGAAAATAAAATTACCAGTTTCAGGTACCAATATAAAATCCTACCATTTGATTGGCCAGCGCCCTCCTTTGGACGCCTGATAGTAATTCTTCTCCTCGGCGAAAGCCCTCGACAACCCAAAATCACTAATCTTCACCTGAAAGTCAACAGAAATACACTGATGTCAGTAAAGCTGAGTAAAGAAATACAAAAATATACTTTTAGTTCTCAAATTTTGTAGGAACTACAATGATTCTACACAAAAGTTGAACAAGGTAATTTCTCTTTTGTTCCCCTCTTCAATTAGCCATTCATGTGCTGTTTTGTACCTTTCTTACTGATCACAAGATTACCGGTACTTCACAAGATAGACTTCTATCTTCACATAATACATTTTTAGGCATTTGATAATTATAAGTAAGACTAATGCTGGTATTGCTGGGGATCCTACCTACTGTATATGCTTATAAAAATATGAGAACGAAATTTATGCAATCAGAACATCTCACCAAAAAAAAAAATAATTTACAAAATTAGGGTGAAAAAATTTGAAAGTCTTAATATTGTTAAAACTTTTCATCACCTGTTCCAAATTTTGGACAAGGATATTTCTAGCAGCTAGATCCCTGTGGACTATCTTCATAGTCTCCAGATAACACATGCCATTGGCGACCTGTGAAGCCCATAGGTACATGGTGGGGTTAGCCTTAATATTATTCCTGTGATCAATCAGGTAATCTAAAAGGGAACCCTTGGAAATGTATTCTTCCACCTGAAATGTTATAAACATACAGTCAAGCATCTACAAATTTACATATGCCTTTTGAAAGATGGACTAATACATTACATTTGAGTGTTCTTTCAAAATCAGCTATCCTGCACCTACCAAAGATGTATCATTTGATAAGATTGATAACTCTTGTATTATAGTTATGAACACTTTTCAATCATTTCAAATTGTTGACCTAACAATTTCATTCCCGACAATATACAGCCAAGAGTCAATTAGAATGTGTAGACTGTTCTTAAATTTGACCTCAGTTTAGAAAAATGCATACTGTTTAGTTGATCAACTTTATTAGGTCCTATCATAACTTATGTTGAAAATGGTTGAATAGGCTAAATGTTTATAAGCAGAGATGCATACTTGTATCAGGAAATACCAGCTAACAGAACTTATCACACTCTGCTATACCAGACTTCCTCATAGAGCTACAAAAGTGGACAAAATAAAATGCTCTTACCAACATGAAGGGCTTTTCACAGATGCCATACAGTTTGACAATACACTCATGGTTCAACCTCTGCATGAGTCGCGCTTCCTCCATAATGCTGGTCAGAGCACCCGTCATGGAGTCATCGTGGAAAGTCTTTAAAGCTACCTCAATCTGAAACAAGTGTAAAGTTTACGAAGAGAGAATTATAAAATATATGTACATGTGACAGACGATAACAGCATTACAGAAGTTTGTTTATTATCCACCCTGACTTACTTGCATAGTCCTAAATTTGGCCTTCCTCTGGGTATAGATTCCTTTTTTAACAGCCCCGAATTCTCCCTGACCAAGTTCATTTCCTAAAAAAAGTACAAAAGATTATTCAACTTAAATTTCATTTCCAGCGTATTTTTCACTCCGAAGTGGGATGTCATTCAAATTGGTTTTTACAATTCTAAGAATTTTTTGAAACTTTCAAGCAAACTTTCTCATCAATTAGAAAACTATGATGGTTAAAATATGTGAATTGAAATAATCCAAAATCAAATCCTATATCCTACGTACAACAAAGTACCTCAGTGTAGGTGAACAATCAATCTATTAAAGCAAAATGCATTTATAATTAAAGCATAATGGACGAAGATCTATTCATTTGATTATTACAAAGATCTTACCAACTTTAATGTCTTTTTTATCAATCTTCCTGAATTCATCCAGACTACTTTGTCTTTCACCCATGCCTCCTCTTATACTGGATGTAGAAGGCTTTGCTGGTGGCTATAAAATATCAATTTCTCTTTGAAAGATTTTTTGAGTTATCTCCCTTCATCCATAAACACAATAAAACTTGAATTTCGATTTTAAAAGTTTCCCTTATTTTCATTATTCATCTAATTAATAAACAAAATGAACTTGAATGCAGTCAAAAAACAAATTATTTGTAGCACCACTCTCTAACAGAATGTTGTGATGAGATAAAACTATACTTACATGGCTGGGAGGGAGAGGGGGTGGTTCATTTGTGGGGTCTGCATAGTACTCCTCCTGTTTTTTGTTACTGGGGTGATTCGGGTGAGCCGGGAGAACTGGACGGGGGTTAGGAACTGGTGGAGCTAAATACAACAAAATATAGCTCAATGGATAAAATTTAAAAAATACTCATGTTCAGGATGTAGTTACTGTTTTTTTATTTATATATTTCAGATATTAACTTCAAATAATAATAATACTAAAAATTAATTCTAGGATTTTTTTTATTTGAAAATCAAAAAACTTCTCTCCCATAAGATAAATGATTTCATTTTAAACTCAAGAGACAGATTTTAAATTAAAATCATCTTTAGATTATTTTGTAACATACCAGAGCCTGATGATGAAATCCTTCTGGACACATTATTAACATCATGTACATTATAATATTCTTCATCTACTTCTATTCTACGATCATCTACAAAGTATAAACAAACAGTAAATTTTCATTTCGAAAATATATACATTCAAGAGTTCAATTTTTTCTCATAAAGACAAAATGCCTGAAATACAGTGTTTCTGAGATGAATGTCAGAGCTTTTTACCAGTGCTTATGGAAGCCCGGAGTTTTGTAGAGAGACCATCACAGTATCGACTATAATGTTCTATTAACTGCTGCAGGCTCTCAAAAAATGGACCATCGTCAATGTAGTGTACCAATTGGTTCTCATAATCCTGACAAAAAATGCATTTGTTGTAATTCCACAAAAATTCATATTTCAAAAATAATCTTCAATTTTAAATTTTATAGCAATGCACTTTAAAATCAGTTTTGAAAAGTGAATACTGAAATGAGTTTTAAACGATTTAATAAACTTACCTTTACTTTAATTTCAAAATTAAATATGCTCTTTTTATGACAGAGTGAGATAACATTGTAGTTTTCGTTCCTTGTGCTCTTCCTGACCAGAAATAAACCCTCCTCCTTACGATATTCTTCTAACATTTGTGTAGCTAACTGTAAAAAGGAAAGCCATCAGATTTGTACATCTTAATAGCCACAACCTTAAAAAGTGCTATATATGATTGGAATGAACACATCAACTCATACTAAATGAAAATGGCAAATAGATGTACACAGAACTGTGACAGTCTTAAAATCCCTTATGTCTTAATTGCTATCTGGTAAACCTACATAAATAATATGAACAATGTTTTAATGAAACAAGAGGCCCATTGGCCTTATAGGTCACCTGAGTATTGTGTAACAACTTACAAACAATTAAATTTGGTTCATGTTTTAAACCAGAGGCCATGAAATTCACAGTTCACAATTTTGAAAGTGGCACCATTGCTTATCATAATTATTAACTTAGCATGCTTACTCTATTTACTTAATACCCAGGGGTAGATCAGAGCAACAAAGAGAAAATGCACTTCCACTTTATACCCAGTTGTGCACCTCACCCCAAAGGAACCACTGACCCAGGGGCCACATATTTTCAAAATTCAAATTTTATCATAATTTGGTTGATTAATACCAAAGAGCTGATTTCAAAGCATTAATTTATTTTCAGACTATGTACCCCCCCCCCCCCCTCTGACCCAGGGGGGCATAAAAAAAACAATTTGCTAGATGCACCTTTCTTCATCATAAATATATATACTTGGATCACTGGCATAAAACCCAGAAGCAAAGGAAAATATTTTCAAAGAATTAATGTATTTTTACTATATAATCAATAGAGCCTCGCCCTAACACCAGAACCCCTGACCCTGGGGTCATAAAATTCACAATTTTGGAAGAGGCACTCTTGCTCATCATAACTAGGTACTTAGTTAGTTTATTTAATACCCAGAAGCAGAGAAGAAGATTTTCAAAGAATAATGCATTTTCACTATATAATCAATAGAGCCCCGTCCTAACACCAGAACCCCTGACCCTGGGGCCATAAAATTCACAGTTTTATAGGAGGCACTCTTGCTCATCATAACTATGTACTAAGTTAGTTTATTTAATGCCCAGGAGTAAAGAAGAAGATTTTCAAAGAAATAATGCATTTTCACTATATGATCAATAGAGCCCCGACCTAACACCAGAACCCCTGACCCTGGGGTCATAAAAATCACAATTTTATAGGAGGCACTCTTGCTCATCATAACTAGGTACTTAGTTAGTTTATTTAATACCCAGAAGCAGAGAAGAAGATTTTTAAAGAATTAATGCATTTTCACTATATAATCAATAGAGCCCTGTCCTAACACCAGAACCCCTGACCCTGGGGCCATAAAATTCACAATTTTAGAAAAGGGCCTCTTGCTCATCATAACTATGTGCTTAGTTAGTTTATTTAATACTCAGAAGCAGAGAAAAAGATTTTCAAAGAATAAATGCATTTTCACTATATAATCAATAAAGCTCCGCCCTAACACCAGAACCCCTGACCCTGTGGCCATAAAATTCATAATTTTGGAAAAGGCACTCCTACTCATCATAACTACCGGTATGTGCTTAGTTAGTTTATTTAATACCCAGAAGCAGAGAAGAAGATTTTCAAAGAATAAATGCATTTTCACTATATAATCAATAGAGCCCAGCCCTAACACCTGAACCCCTGACCCTGGGGCCATAAAATTCACAATTTTATAGGAGGCACTCTTGCTTATCATAACTATGTACTTAGTTAGTTTATTTAATACCCAGGAGCAGAGAAGAAGATTTTCAAAAAAATAATGCATTTTCACTATATAATCTATATAGCCCCGCCCTAGCACTAGAACCCCTGACCCTGGGGCCATGAATTTCAAAATTCTGGTAGAGGACTCAATGCTCATTACATGCATGCCAACAGTTTGCCTGCTTGATGTCCAGGAGTAAAGAAGAAGATTTTTAAAGATTGTAATAATTTTTGTAGTTTTGGCCCCACCCCTCAGGCCCCAGGGGGGCGGGGACCACGAAATTCACAATTTTTGTTCCCCTTCACCCATAGATGCTGTATACTAAATTTGGTTGAAATCGGTTCAGTGATTTCAGAGAACAAGCTGAAAATGTTCAAATGAAAACACACGACACACGAAACACGACGCACGACAGACGACGGACGAAAACGGATAGCAATAGGTCACCTGAGTTACTCAGGTGACCTAAAAATGAAGTAATTCAGACAGAGAAGAAAAGTGATGATAAAACTGTGTGAGTGCCTTTCTGTCCAGGTCTGAGTGGTACCAATATTCCTTCTTCGTCCTTACTTCTCTTCTATCAGGAAATCCTAAAGAAAAAACATCAATTTTTTCTTCTTTTTTTTCTCAGTGTGTTTTGTTTAGTAATGATAAGTTCAGAGAGAACAATATTTATATTTGCCCATTTGAGGATATGGCTATTTAGTAATTAAGAACTCAAGTAAATCCACATACTAAGGAGAGGAATACAGTCTTGTCGGTTGTATCTCAGTGCCAAGTCCAGTGGCGTCTGTCCGTCGTCTGCCCGTGGCATCATAGGGGCATGAAATTGAAGGAGCTTCTGCAAAAGAAAATGGAAACAAACTCACAAAATACGTCCATAAATCTGCTAAATACAAGTATTGCTCAAATATTCATAAGCAAATTTGTTTACCTGAATAGAAGCATTATATAAATGAATCAAAAAATAGAAACAAATTATATTTGTCCTAGAATTTCACTTCAAATTGCATCTATATGCATTAAATAAACATGAATAAATGCCTTGCCTCAATTTTCTTTCCTTTTTAAGCATCAGCATCTATTGTTCAACTAGTAAATTTTTACTTTACTGATAGTGATTTTCCAAAAGGCAACTTAGTTGCCCTGTTTTAAAATTGCCCAGATACAGATGTTATGAAGAGATAATGCTCTCTTCTTTCAATTTGTCCAGTTTTAATTTGTCAACTTGCAACAATGGCAAAAGGGATGAATTCCCATAAGAGTTACCTCTCTTATCATAGGGACAGTGAACCTTAATCTCTTACTTTTATGCACTCTGCATTGCCTTTCATGGCTGCTTCATGCAGAGCCACCCAGCCAGTTTTGGGAGATCGAATTTGAGGATCTGCTTTTCCATGCTTTATAAGCACAGCAACAACATCGGGATAGTTAGCTGAACAAGCTCTCTGTCAAAATAAACATATACCGGTAAGTGAATCAGTGCTGTCTTAATTACTTATTTTATACAGCAACTGACTTCTAAGACCAAAACACATTAATTTTTCATACAAATAAATGAGGAACTTTCATAGATTTGTTTTACTGATGACATCAAAGAATATCAGAACTATTCTATTACATGTAAAATTTTGAAAGGTAAAAAATAAATTAAATCTATTTTACTGGAAGTATCTAAGAATACTAGTATTGGACTTTTACGAGTAGCGCTGACTTTTACAGTTTACAGCTTACTTTTACACTAGAACAATGTACGGAAGATCTTTTACGATATAAATATTTAGCTCAACATTTAATTCAACCAAATAACGGGTTATTTCAAAGCGTAAATCGGTTGTCCTTAAAGAAAACGACAACCTCCCTACTCTCAACTCCCGGTCTTCACATGTTAGTGCCCCTAACAACATAAGAGATACTACCTATGACCACTAGAAAGGTGTTCTTATCTATTATCAATTCTGTTCCTCCATACATGATGCAGGTTTAAATGCCAAGTAAACCGTCAATTGTGAAAATCAGTGCTTCTCGTAAAAGTCCATTAGAAGACATACTTGTAACGGTGTGAAACCAGAAAACTTACACAATTGTACAGGTATGACTAACATGTAAAGGTATGACTTACATGTAAAGGTGTGACTTACATGTATATATGTGATTTACATGTAAAGGTGTGATTTACATGTAAAGGTGTGATTTACATGTAAAGATGTGATTTACATGTACATATAAGATGTGATTTACATGCACTGGATTTAGTTACTTGTAAATGTGTGATTTAATGTAAAGGTGTGACTTACACGTAAAGGATTTACATGTACTTACACGTGAAGGTGTAATTTTAATGTAAAGGTGTGATTTACCTGTAAAGGTGTGGTTTAAATGTAAAGGTGTTTTACATGTAAAGGTGTAATTTACATGTAAAGAAGTGATTTACATGTAAAGGTGTGATTTACAAGTAAAGGATTTACTCACATGTAAAGGTGTGAAACCAGCCCTATCTTTGGCATGAACATCAGCTCCTTTATCAATTAATTTTTTGGCGATAGAAACTCGACCATACTTAGCAGCATCATGCAAAGCTGTGGTACCTAAAAAAGGCAATAACAACATTACATTCATATAATACAAAGGCTTTCGAGGAATGTGTACTACTTCATGCCAATTGTTTGGTTTTTATGATAAAATTAAGAAATTAAAAATTTTTAATCTGAGAAATCTGTTTGATAAATGGTTATCTCAGTTCTTGGCAGAATAGATTTGAATATCTATCTGTTTTAAACCACTGGCCCTGTGCAATGAGGAACTGCTGAAGATGTTTTATATCAACTACAATGCAAAACTTGTCAGACAGTTTGATTTAAAAAATTACCCGTAATCATACTTGTATGTAGATGAACATGCACTGAACATTTCTCCTAAACTTCAAGTTAATGACCTCTACCCTGAAATCTGATTGCTATAGGTCAATGTACGACTTAATTGCTTCAATAATGTAGCCCTCTCTGATTACTGTAATCTTTATGTTCTCTCCCAAAAAAGATTTATGGGAGCCACTTCAATACAACTATACTACTGCATGTTTTGTATCATGAATTGTTAATACTTTTTCTAAATAGTGTAACTTTAAACAAAGACAACAGTTTTAGCATTGTTTATGATTCTGTAGTTTTCATTTTGCCTTTCACAAATTTTAAAAGTGGATTTGCATTTTTTCTTGTCTTTGGTGCATCTTATATTGAACAGAACAATGCTGCTCTCTTTTATCCGCTTAAAATTACTTTCTTATGTAATACTGTATACAGGGAAATTTTAGCCCCCGTTTTATTTTCGCCCCTTTCGCCCTACTCTCATTTGGGCGAATTTAAAACGGGGCGAATTGAAACAATTTAGTATAATTTCATAAACAAAACTATGAATGGGCGAATTTAAAACGGGGTTAAATTGTTTGCAAGCGTGAAAGGGCGAAAATAACACGGGGCGAAAATAACCCTGTATACAGTATTTTATCATCAGACTTACCTAAATCATTTTTGGCATTAATTGAGGGACAAAGTCTATGTTGTAATATACTGGTAACTGTCTCTTCATTTCCTAAAACAACAACAACAACAACAAAATAGAATTTTTACTGAGTGGGTGTAAACAAAAATATGTTCACTCCATAGGAAGCTGATAAAATATTGCACAATGTCCTTGAAATTAATATGTTAGAGATGTACGTGAAATTCAGCACAAGGAAATGAAAAAAATGTTTCAATATAGTGACAGCGAGATGGGGAAGCCATCTATTTTATTGTATGTGTCAGAGAAGTACCATATATTGCTCCAACAATACCAAATGTTTAAGAAATGAATTTAATTTTTGAGAATTCATATGAACTTCATTATAAATATGCAGGCGTGTAGTTCATGTACCTCATGAATTCTCAAAAATTAAATTCATCTCTTATACTTACATTATTTTTCTGATGACTTTACACATATTTTTGTCAATCATTTTTTTTTTTATTTGCACCTTTTTTTTTACTTCAAGTACGTCACAATGAAAATATTCATACTCATCCCACTGTAACTTATGAGAACATGAACTTTCTCTAATTTGCAAAGAATCTAAAGGAAAAATATTTAGAAATATAAATGCATTTACTACTTTTGCCTATCAAAGTGGCAACTAGAATAAAAGTTATTATCTTAATTTGGTTTTTAATTGAAGAAATTTTAACAAAACTGATAGACAGTACAATGTCTAATGAAAATTCCTTTAATGAATCCGTTAATCCATGTACGCCTATAGGGCAAAATTTTATTCTCAAGATCGACAATCTTATATTACTGTTTAAAATCATGTAATGACTTATATTATATAACTTGTATAGAATGAATGAAATGTATAGTGAAACTTGTCTATACTGGATGTTGTGTACACTGATATCTTGTCTAATATGATGTAAACTTAAAAGTCCCTTAATACTCCAATTGTTTAAAATTTTGTCTAATGATATCTGATCTGGCAAATTTCTTTGGAAATAAAGTAAATTACAATTATAGTGAATGGAAATACTGATTAAACCCAATATAGTGAATATGTGGAAATATAGTAAACCACACTTACAGTGAATATGCTTATACCGAATTGACACTTATAGGAAAGTGATCATCATTCCCCAATGGCTATTAAATATGTTGTTAACGTAATGGATATAATGATCTATAAGCTTATAACCAAGGAAAATTGTCCATCCCTGCCAATTTGTTTTTATAACTGTGTTTTACTGTAACAGTGTCCAAACAAAAAATGTTTTACTGTAATTCATTCTTTTGAATTACAGTCCCTGTATGATTATAGTAAATTCGCTGTTTTAGTATTTTACGGAAATGAACAAAAGAATTTCCTGTCATTGAACACTTCCTAATAAATCAATTGACATGTTGTTAAAATTAAACCAATGCATCAATGATTTTTGATAGTTGTAGAGTGGATATTAAATTGCATTCTGTGTTTGATATTGGTCAAGTATATTATAATCATCAAATAGTTAAGGGACTGAATACAATATTACACAATATGAAGGTACAAAAATTATTCCAAATTACTTCCTAAGATGATTCGTGACTTGAAAATTTTTGGTTTGTAAGAGACACAATTTTTTTGAATTGCTTCAATATTTATGTATAGATAATTGTATTACCTTCCATGACAGCCCTGTGCAGTAGATTGGTGGGACCATTTAGCCGTGCCCTATCTGGGGGCGGGGAACCTTTACAATGCCTTGTGAGCTTCGTTATCAGCCCATTGGCTCCATTCTCATAGTAGGCAACAAGTTTCTCCAACCCTTGAAATAAATTGGTAAACCTCAGTAAAAAGTATCAAATCCGAAATCACACAAGTTATGTCCCTTTCAATAAATTCAATTCTTTAATCGGGAGTTTTATCTAACCTAGCAAATTCTATGGAACCAGTGGTGTTCAAATTAGACCAATGTATTTGGACTTACCTTGGGTAGTTGGGCCTTCATCCAACTTGTAATGCCCATCAAATACCTCTTTGATTTGGAAATGGAAAACTTTAGCATCATGAGTCACAGACACAACAAAATCTTTTTCTGAGCTGGTGCTGTCTCGTATTAGGTACAAGCCATTACTGTCTGTGGTTGACCCCTGTAAACTGGCCAATCCTGTAACAACAAACCGGGTCATGTTAAAAATACCACAATACAATTACACATGTATTACCAGATAAATTAATGCACATGTATCTAATTGGTAAATACCCAACGCAAAACACAAAAAATATCTATATTATTGAGATCATAGGTCCATTGCAGGCACAAATATTCTTTTCTGTCTGTCTGTCCCTGTTTATGCTTCTGTGTGCTGTTTTATCCTTGACCATAACCTTTGAACTGGGGAAAATAATGTCATATATCAGTCTTTTTATAAAATTGCTTGTTCAAAGTTCAATGAAAGGTCAGAAGTTTATACCAAAAAAAACTTAATCATTTTTTTGAAACAGACATCAAGTGTACAATTGCATGACTGTAAAAATGTACATTATTAATTAGCCTTAGAGTGGATAACTGAATGACCAGCAAGTGTCATTTATTCATCAAAATTAGAAATTAGTTCTATAAATCCTTTATTATAATAAGGTCTATCAATTATTTAAAAGAATTATCCCATACTGGTACATTTACATTAAAGTGTGCAATATTAGTATCAGTCCTCAGGAAGAATTCAATATTACATCATTCCAATGACCCCAATCATAATTGCTATGATATGCTTATTGAGGTTTTTTTTAAATTGAGGCTTAGGCACTGATTTATTTAACTCAAGGAATCACTGTCTGGTTAGTATAAAATATCCCATGTTCCCACTATCATTGATGTCCCTGGCATACTCTACTAACTAGAGAGTGATTCCGAATATTTCAATTTCATTGTGAAATAAAATTGTAAATTGAGATTTTCAAAATGTAGACAAATAGATTCAAATTACACAATTAGGCCTCTCATGTCATTTTCAATAGTCCCCGCTGAATGATGTCAGACACAAAGACAGCCAAACAAGGTTTACATGCATATTAATTAAGTCTCCTTAGCATCAGACACAAAGACAGTCCCACAAGATTTACATGCATATTAAGCCTCCTTACAATCAGACACAAAGACAGTCCCACAAGGTTTACATGCATATTAAGCCTCCTTAGCAGCTAACCTATCGATTGGCAAAATTAACATTACAATTATCAAGATATCAACTTATATAACTATAAATTTGAAAGAGTTATCACAGAGAAAAGAAATAGTTCTGAAATGGAAATATTAATTAAGTTTCAATTCTTTCTTGCCTAGTTGTCACTTGCATAATTAATATTGCCATAAAATGTCAGACCAAATGGCATTTTTCATTTACTGGTACAACTACAATGTTTGATAATTTGAGTGCATACCGGTACATCAGAGCTTAAAGTACACAAACTGGCGGAAACTCTGTCAAAGTTCAATAAAATGTCCAGATATTTTTAAAATACTAAAAATTTTCTAGGCTTTTAGCAGTTCTTTTTTTAAAGACATACAGGTAATAAAAGAACAATTTCTGCGATCAATGCATGAGAAGGGATAGGTCAAACAAAGAAACTATACTCATGATTTAGAAGTGCTTTATAACATTTCACATGTTTGAAGTTAAATCTCATGATAATGCATTCAAACAAGTGATTTAATTTAATCTTTGACATGTTTACAGATCATGTACATTTTTATGATGTCAACAATTTACATGTGATTTAATGGATTTAATTCAATTCTGAATTAATCCATATAACATCACGTTTATTTCCTATTTAAGGCTTTGAACCTTGTCTTCATAGTGAAATCATATGATTGAAAAGCATGTTCTGCTTGTTTTAAATCGAATCCAAATTTATAGCTGTCGAAATAAATAATCCCATGCACTCAAAGATAAATATACCCACAAATCCTACAGCAGTAAAGCTTGATCATTTTGCTGTTGAGGAAATTTTTCATAATTTGTCATCCATTATTTTGTCATATCTAAATACGATGTGCAATAAATTTTATGTCAGCACAATAATCCAGCAATTGAGGAAATTTTTTTTCTGTTTTTAAGCTATATTTAAAATTTGTCGTAGATAATTAAACTGGATAAGAAAATCATGACTTCCTGTTTCTAAAAACAGAAGAAAATGTATCATAGAATGCTGAGTGTTTATTTATATACTGGATTTCTGGGTCAAAGCAAATAAGGATGTACATATTTATACACTATGTCTACAGTCAGAAAAAAATGAGATAGATTTACTTTGTGTCTCAATGTACAGTAAATACACACCTATAATGAAACTGTTACATTAATGAACTGACACTTACATCAATGCGATTTTCATTTACTGTGGCTTTTAAATATATGATAATGTGAATTTAATAGATATGTATACATGAATTATGAATTAAGGCTATAATGAAGCAAAATCCTCCGACCTTGGCAGTTTGTTATAAGTATGTTTGACAGTATTATAGGTCATCAAAGAAAAGGTCATTTCTTTTCATTTTGTTTAAATTAAAAGCTTTTTCTAAAAATTCTTATTTAAAAAGTACTATTAATTTTCTGAAATCAAAAATTATCATTTCAAACTTATCATAAGTAATTAATTCATGCTGAAGAAATTGTATTAATTAACAATTACTTCCTTTCCTTATGCTGTGTCTCTAGAGGTTGACTGCATGCTTTACTGAAAACTTGATCAGCTGTGTACACATATATTATTACTATATACATGTACAGTCCATTCTAATGCATGGTTACAATATGCATTCAATGAATTTTTTCCTCAACTTATAATATATGGTATATAATTTATGCAGATAAGAGGTGCATGCTAGCACATTGCATGCACAACTCATGGAAATTAGTAATTATATTATGATCAATACCCTGGAATTACTGCAATTAAGCTGTTACGAAAAAAAGGAATTAAAATTTCCAATTGTAGAAAAATATGAGAATAGATAAATGAACGCGAAGTTATAAAATACTAATATTATAGAGGGTCTGAGCTGAGAGGTAAATTTAACAAAAATTTCTTAAAAGGAATTTGTCCACCACATTTGATTGGTTTCTCACACGTACTCTTTTTGAGGTACAGTCTTGAAACCGAACAGTTGCCAATATTTACCTGTATTTCCTACCTAGAGTTGTACTTGATAGGGATCGAGTATTTACTCGCACTGTGTAATTAAAATTGAATGATATTCAATTGTTTAAAATGATAGTGTGCATTGATAGGTTTAAGATGCTACAGAGTGTAATATAGCAGAACTTGTTCATACAAATATTGTGATAACAAAATGTATCATATAAGATGGAGAAATGTATAAAATTTAAAATGTCCACGTTTTAAGGAATGGTGATGCCTTACCAATGCTGCTTTATAGGTAAAATATGCAAAGCCTCAATTGCAACAGATTTAGATGCAAAAGAACTTGCTATATATGGTAAGCAGTAAGTAGCCAGGGGCAACAGGTTTTGCCCGATTAAGGCCTTGATAAATAAATTGTGTGTTTCTGGTTCCCCGACCAACCCTAAAATATATGACCCTACCCTGAAAAATTTATCCACCAATATCTTTCCGGAAGTAAACAATTCCAGTTTTGCTCGTAGAAATCCTAATCTCAATCACTTCTGTGTATGAGGAAATGCATATTCTAAGCATTCTAAGCAGAAATGTTTTGACAGTTATTTCCACTGTGAAAATCACAGCATGCTTACATTGAAAATGTTAAATGCAATTGAAATAAGATGTTATCCCTACCTACCCTATTTTTTCTAAGGTTGGACTAGGAAACACTATTTATTTAACTTGGCCTAATAGAAGAGATATATATATGCATGTATATATTAAAATTTAAGTCATGGAAATGCAAGAATTACTTGTCCCAGAAAAGCATTTTTTTGTTTTGCAGAAAAGCTTGACACCTAATTGGAGAAAATGTGGAACTTAAGAATACAATTACTCTGTAACTTAAGGTTCATCAATACTTTGATAAGAGAGATAACTCTTAATGACATGTCTATTATTCCTTTATAGATTTGCCAAGATGAAGTGTCTTTTTTGTCCACTTTTGCCCCACAGGCTATGCTATAATTGTTTGCATTTTTCTTATAAAATACATTTCTTCTGGAAAATTGTTAAAGTTCAAGCAATATTTCATATGAGAGAGCAGAGGGTTTATGAATCTTATATTCTCTGCCCTTGGCAGGACTTAAGGTGAGAGTCCAGGGATGTTCAGATAGTTATTTTTAAGTTCATATTACACGTAACTAAATACATGTACTGGCAATTTATTTTTTTTTTCATTGTACAAAGTTGGTGAAAATTCGTTAAAGACCTTCCTCTATTAAATTTCAGACATTTAAAAATATACAGCTTATTTGGCTCAATATTAACATAAATTCAAATTAGTATCCCATATTATTCCAACAGTTAAAATCAACAAAGTGATATCCCCAAAGAGATTCTTGAACCCGGTACCAACTGACACTAAATTAGAAATTTTATGCTGCATGAGTAAAGAGTTACAGAAAATAATGTAAGTCAATGCTTAAAATAAAAAAATTCAGTGAACCAAAAATGATTTATCCCCAAAATAAAGTTTGACTTCCCATGCAAGTATGTATGAAAAACTGAAGGGGATTTTTGATATAATTAGAGAAGACAAATTCATTAAATATTAAATCTCAAGATCTATATTTTTCAACACCATTTAATAATGGTTAACACTACCATATTTTTAATTAAGAAACTTTGCACATTGAGATACTAGTATATTTATTTGAAAAATGGTGTTTGCAATCACCTATGATTTTTAAATAAAATATACTGACATTTCTTTTTAGACAACTCAGTAATTGACATAGAAGCTAGGGTACTTCTTTCAGATATTCCTAATTTTTCATGGGTACTTTTCAATGTTAAATCGGGAGAATAATAATTTGTGAATGGACGGTTGATCAATAGATTTTACACAGATTTCAGAACCACAGAAATAAAGGGAGTAAATTAATTTTGCATGTTGTGCTTCCTGAAAAATTACGCAATAATGATTCCACATGTATCAAAATCAAACTGGGTTAAGACAAATCATAATGGCCA